TGCTAAGTGCTTCACACGTATCGGCTCATTTCATTTTCACATTTAACCTGTTAAGTCAGGAATATTCATAGCCCCACTGTAAAGATGCAGAAACTGAGGCATAGAGCATTTAGTAGCATGCGTGTTCATACAGCTAATAAGTGGCTCCACTCACTTCAAAGACAAGAATTCCCCAAGTTTCAGGGAGCTTCCTAGCCCCATTTTGTAGCTTTGGAATAACTTGGGTTTGACACCTCAGAGCAAATCTCCCACAAACTGCCATTTAACCCAGACAGGACTTCCCGGTAGCATGAATGTGACCAAGACAAGTGCACTGTCCCCACCGGAGCAAAGAGGAAACCATTTTCCTGCTCCTTGTCTTGTGATCTGACCCTGGTAGACAAGGAGTGGGCAGGGGTGGTATGAGAGTGGGGACTGTCACCCGCGGTCACTCTGAGAACAAAGCCTGCCTGGCTTTGCAGTGAGAGTTACGGGAAGCATTTCAAAAGCTCCCCTGGAACTAGACAACCTTTCAATCCATTTATCAAAGTGTCTGCACTTCCCGTTTCAAGGTAGATGAAGCAATAATAAATTTGTGAAGAAAGTTAATCTGTGTCCAAAGCATTTTAGTAAATTAAAAAGGGGGCGGGGGAGTTGGCTGGAAGGGGGATATATTGGTTCTTGCCAACTTCTATTTGACTTACTGTCTCCTTAATAAGTCCTCTTTGGTCTTGTGTTTTTGGATGGAATAATCAGTCGGTTAATCATTTTCTGGAAGCTGGAAAATGCACTTTAGCTAATGCAGTTCTCCTTTTCTTCCAGAGCTCTAATTATTTAAAAAGTCTTCCTAATCCCTAGCCCCACTTCTCAACCAAGGAAGCCTTCCCCACCACCCATCTTTATTTCCCCAGAAGATCCCAGCCTGTCTTCCACCCTACTCCAACCTCATACGTTTCTTTAAATGTTAAAAAAAGATTCCTTTCTCTGGCCACTTTGGAGCATTTCCACCCTCCTCACCATAAGCTGTCTCCCTCATGAAGGGTGAGGCACTAAAACCCGAACAAGCAATTGACCAGAACTAGGCTCTTGGGCATTACGGATAGATTTTGTTATTTTTATTTAAGTGTCAGCTGAAAATGGTCGTTCTTGTCTTTCTTTCTCAAGGATAATACTTAACAATAGCTCCATGCTCTGGCATCCCGCTGAGATAAACACACTATTAGGGAACCTCACAATGGCCCTGCGATAATTGTGAAGGGACAGTTACCGAAAATGAAGGGCCCAGCCCTGAACCCTCCTTCATGCCCCATCAGTAACACCATTAAAGCTGTCACTTTGTCAGCCCACTGGAGGTATTTATGAAATCAGTATACAGTCCTGCAGATGGATGGCAGCCATATTGTTAGCTGGAGAAGAGAGGCTCACTGGAAAATAAAATTAGTAAAATTTACAAGTGGATTGTCCTGAAGAACAAATAAATTCCCTACCATCTACTATTTTGCTCAACTGGGACAGGAAGAAAGCAGTGGTGGGGAGGTGGAAAGAAAGCACTGCTTTATACTGGGATCCTTAAACTAGGAGTACCAAAAAAAAAAAAAAAAAGTTGCCATCAAGTCAGTACAGATTCATGGCGACCCTATCTGTGTCAGAGTATAACTGTGCTCCACAGGGTTTTTAATGACTGTGACCTTTTGGAAGTAGATCACCAGGCCTTTCTTCTGAGGTGCCTCTGGGTGTGGATTCAAACTTCAAACCTTCCAGTTAGCAGCCAAGTGCTTAACCATTTGCACCACCCAGGGACTCCTATACTAGGAGTCAGGCTGGGTATATTTACAGAAAAAAAAACGGTGAGCAGAAAACCAAGTAGCTGCCCCACCAAAGGGCAGGATTTTGTCTGTGTGGTTGCCTTTGTTGGAGGTCTCCCAGCATCACCACCAGATTGTTCTTCTTAAATATCAGTGTTCTCCTATCTTCATTCCACCATAGTGCAAACCAGAGGCTCTGTGCAATAGCTATACCTTCCAGTATGTTTGGGGACGCCTTATACTCAAATGGTTAATGCATTACAGGAATACACGCTCCTCTGCCAGCTTCCCTGCTGTGGTTAGATCTGCTTTTTGCTCTCCCTGCTCCTGATTTTGGTCATCAGCCATTCACCAGAAGAGTGTCTTGAGCAGTCCTCTCAGAGTGGCCAAAGACAGCCTGGGAGGGTAATGGGCGGGGACTTGGTGGCCTGGGGGCAGCCTTTACTTGGCAGGAAAGACTGGGCCCATAGTAAGTGGCTGCCGGAGCCTCGGGTGTAGCCCAGATGCCTGGTAGAAACTGAATTAGTCGGATGACAGGACCAGGGCCCCCTTTTCCTGGAGGCTGATGGAGAGCAGCGGTGTGGCCTGGGTGACGCCGCCTGACCTTTGCTGTCATCGTGGCCTTTGTTCAGCGCCTGACTCCAGGCTGGAGCCCTGCTCATTGAATCAGGCCCAGCCGGGGAGCCTGCACTGGGCCCCTTCTGCATCCAAATGTACTTACATCAGTTGCAGGCAGAGAAAACTATGTTTGAGATGGGGAGTGCCCTGCTATTCCACCCCAGGAGTCACTAGTGTTCACACCTGCACCTTACCCCAACTCTGAGCCTTGCTTTGGTGCCTGAAATGCCTAAGGGTGGCCCCAAATATACATGAGAGCAGAAAAATGGATACCTCCTACTTTCTATTTTCCTCCATCCCCTTGCAAAAAGTCAATTTAAAAGGCTCAGGTTTTAGTGGAGGATGGTTGTCTGACCTCTCCTCACAAATGTATTTGGGCTAATCTATAGCTTTTGATTAGGTGCCTCTGGACAATCTGTGGGAATGTCCATTGGTACAATCCATATGTAGGACAATTCAGCAACTAAAGATGTGTTTTTGCCTCGTGATCCAGCAAGTTCTACTTATAGGACTTTGTATCAAGGAAATAGCTGGCCAACTGCCCCAAAATGCATGGGCAGAGTAATTCATCCTAGTGTTTCTCTAAATGGCAAACAAATAAGTGACTAAGTGAATAAATAAATGTGTGCCTAACAATTTGGCAATGTTATAGCAATCTATACAATTGGATGACAAACAGCCACTTAAAATGTTGTCATAGATGTATAGTTAAAGGCACGGACAGATGTCCTCAATACAGTAAGCAAAACAAAGGTTACAACAGACTGCATACTAGGAAGTCGCCATATTGGTTAAATTATATATATACCCTAATTGGTTGGACTGGTGATGTGTGAGTAATACAGTTTTTTTTACCTTAATGTCTGAGAGTCTTTTTGTGTTCTCGTCAAAATATACCTTTTATAATCAGAAGAGATCCTAAAGATATTTCTATTTTGAAGGGGGGAAATAAAGACTAGCAGGGCCTTCCATTTGGAGGTGAGAGCTGACTGTGTCCCTAGCCCATCTCTTTGCACTACCCCTCCTCCAGCCATCCTCCTCCAAAAGTTTCTGCAGCCTGCAGCTGTGCAGGAGAGTCCTGGGTGAGACCTGGCATGAGTGCCCCAGTAGGGTTGCTTTGTACATCCTGGAGGCCTGATGGGTCTTTGCAGTTTGATTCCTCACTGAGATGAATGAAAAATTTTGTGTGTTGGGTCTTGCAAAACAAAACACAAAACCTGCATGGGCCTTAGGAAAGGAACTTGAGGTTTTGGGGATGGTTAAAGAGGACCCTGGGACAAGAACAAGACTTGGGTTTAAGCCAGCTGCAAGACCCCAGCAGTCCCTTACCCTGCTAAAAACAACATGTTAAAGCTACTTAGTGCTAGATGAGAGGCCAGTGGGACCCCCGCTTTGGATGCGTCTATGCAAATACAATTTGAATTCATCATGCCTGTCACTAAAAAGATCCAGGAGGCCCCCAGAGGTCTTGGGACTCTAGAATCAGCTGAGGCGGCCACCCCCATCAGAAGATCAGAAGAGCCAGGCTCTGTTCCCATCCCAAGTGACAAAGGCAGGGAGTCCTGAGCAGCCCTGGGAGATGGGAGATTGAGTGGTGTTGACCCTGCAGTGGGGGAGGAAGGCCATGGGGGAGGGGACGGGGTCATCTCTGGGAGGTGGCAAAACAGAGCATTGGATGCAGTGTTGCAACAAATAACCCAGCATCTTGGCTCGTGGCCTGGAGGTGCGAGACCACCCACAGAGCCCGCCCGGGAGGCGAGCTGCTCCCTGCCTGGTAACCATTTCAGCAAAGGCCATCACTCGGGAACAATGTGAATGCTTGTAGCAGCCCAGGCCTGAGACTAAACAATCCCCAAACACTCCTGACCGCAGAGGAAGCCTCCAAGGGGTTTTGTTATCTTAATGAGATGCAGATCGAGCCGGGCCTGGGTCTTTAATGCAATGTGCCTCTTCTCTTCTTGTTTAGAGACCTGAGCGAAAACCAGATCCAGGGGATCCCGAGAAAGGCTTTCCGCGGCATCGCTGACGTGAAGAACCTGTAAGTGATGTTTTTGTTGCTTCTCTGCAGATGTGGCTAATTCAGGCTCTGTGGCCAGAGCAGGGGGGAATGATGGGCTGTCACTGTGCTTTACAACACTGCTGTCCAGGCGCCTGGGAGACTGACTGAGGGATGCGCTAGAATGGTTTCCAGGGAACACACCTCGGATGCCACAGCAGCTTCATAGAGCCTGCTTCTTCCCTGGATGTTCATCCCCAAGTATGAGAATGGGAGTCACAGACCTGGGTCAGAGCCTGTCCCCACAGTGGCTCTGTGGCCCTGGGTGCAACTCCACTTCTCCAAACGTCATTATCTTCTTCTATAAAATGGGGATTACGACCTTGTGGGATGTTGCATGTAACTCAGTAAATGTTAAAAAAAAAAAAAAAATTAGTGTCTGGTACATAGTAAGTGTTCAATAAATGGAAGCCTTGATGATGATGATGATGATGATGATGGTGATGATCTCACTGTTATTAATATGATCATAATCGGCTCCTTTGGGCAGTATTGGGATGTCCTGAGAAGACATAGATCCATTGCACTAGGTGGATGTTTTTTCATTTGTTTGTTTGTTTGTTTGCTTTTTATTTTGAAATAAGTGTAGATTGAAGTTACAAGAAAAAAAATCTAGAGTGGTACCCTTTCACCCGTTTCCCCCAATGGTAACATTTTGCATAGCTATAGTATAATATCAAAACCAGGAAATGGACATTGGTACAATCCACAAACCTTCTTCTTCAGATTCCACCTGTTTTACACACATCATTTGTGTGTCTCTGGGTGTATGTGTAGTTCTATGTCATTTTATCACATGTGTAGATCCATGTAACCATCACCATAATCAAGAGGGAGAACTGTTCCATCACCACAAAGGTCTACAGTACATTTTTGAACTTGCCAATTAACCTTCATCATTTTCCTACCTGGCCTTCCCTGTTTGCACCCTATCCCTGAGCCCTTACCTTCATAGAGAGCTTGTGCTCCTTCTGAATTTTCTTCCCAAGCAACTGTTGTCCATGTGCTCAGAACGTGTATTTGGAGAGGGACATAGAGAAGGTCTGATTTGCCTGCTCAAGCATTTCTGCCCACTGGCCCCTGCCCCAGGCTCAAATTCAACTTGAGAAGTCTTGGAGGAGGCTTTCCTTAAAACTACTTTAACTGTCACTTTCCTATAATGAATGCAGGGATTTTCGTTTACTGAAATCCCGAAAGGTAGCTGGTGATAGTTTCCAGATGTAGGTTAGCTGCCTCCCCTGTTGCTGAGGCCTTAGAGGAAGGCTTTTGTTGTTTAACACGCAAGGCACACAGGAGGGCAGAGGCATCTGGGAGGGAAAGAAGGGAGTGGGGAGTCAGTGATAACTTTGCAAAGGGCTGTTAGACAAGAGGGCTATCTGCTGCTTCCTCTGGGAGTGTTTGTGGGAGAGGAGCACAGGGCGAGGGAACAGCCAGAGAAGCATAGAATGTGAGTTCCTTTGCAGGACAGGTGTAGACCCCACTCAAAGAATAACTTGCTGACTCTGTATCTTCCAGTGAAAATGAGATATGGGAAAACCAAACTTTCAAAGCTACTAAATAAATAATGGTTAATCTCTCACCCTCCAGTGGCACTTTTAATGTTTCAGAGTTGCTTTTATAGCATTTTGTTCCTTGGATTCTAGAAACTCAAGAATGTGCATGTGAACCAAAACCAACAGATTGTATTAATTAGCATCACAGAACATCAGGTCAAGAGGGAACTTAGAGATCCTCCAAAACCCTACAGTTCAGCAACGAGAAAATTGAGGTCCAGAGAAGGACAATGACTAACTCAAGGTCAGCTAGCTTCTTGATAATGGGGCCCAGAAAGAACATTTTACCATAAAGTTATACATCTGTTGGATCTCATGGCTCTAATTTTAAATGGGCCAGTTGACAGAAAAACTCATTGTAATGATGTATAAGCCAACCCCAAACCAAACCAGTTGCCGTGGAGTTGATTTCGAGTCGTGTGCAGTCGAACCGCTCCCTAGGGTTTTTATGGCTATGACCTTCATGAAGCAGATTGGCAGGCCTTTCATCCAAGGAGCCTCTGGGTGGGTTTGAACTGCCAACCTTTCGGTTAGTAGCTGAGTGCTTAACTGTTTGCACCAACCAGGGACTCC